GACTCACAAATGTACTACCTGCTTTTCAACATCTTATGAATGATTTTTTTTTTATGAATTTCTAGATGATTTTGTTGTCTGTTACTTAAATGACGTTTTAATCTATTCTAAGAATACAAAAGAGGATGAAGTTAATGTTCATCATGTATTATAAAAACTTTGAAATGTGGGATTATACGCTAAGTTGAAAAAGTGAGTATTCTACAGTATTTAAGTTGACTTCTTGAAATATATCATTTCTAACAAAGGACTTATGATGGATTCAAAGAAGGTTCAAACTATTATAGATTAGAAGATTTTCAAAACAATAAGAAATATGCAATGCTTTTTGGGCTTTGCCAATTAGTATTGAATCTTCATAAAGAATTTTTCTCAAGTTACAACTCTTCTTATACATGTTATATGCAAAGACAAACTTGATTGGTATAAAGAAGCTGAAGCATCTTTTGAAGCTTTAAAGTCAATATTTATTTTTGTACCAATCTTGTATTGCGTTGAATTTTCTAAGGTATTTTTTATGGAAATAGATGCATCAGATTTTACTATGGATATTGTTTTGTGGCAAATAAGAAAAGATGACAAGCTCTTTCTAGTAGCTTTTTATTCCAAAAAATTCTCAATAGTCGAGATTAACTCTGAGATCTACAACAAAGAATTTTTTACATTAGAAGATTTTTTTTAAGAATAGCATCATTATCTAGAAGATACTTCTAATTCAATCACCATATATAAGAATCACAAGAATTTTGAGTATTTTATGTCAACATGTCTTTTGAATTTTTTCTAAACTTATTAGGATATGTCTTTATCAAGATTTGAATTTAATATCATTTATTAGCTAAAAAAGAAATTAGCTTTGTCTAATACATTTTTTAGATATTTTTATCTTATGTTAAAAGAAAGAGATGCAACTTTTGATTAAATAAGGACAATTTTATTGAAGCTATAATAATTTCATCTTTAAGCAAAGAAATCAACATTGACTATTAATTCAACTTTTCTTAAGCAAATTCAATCAAGTATATCTTATGATCCTCTTGTTGATGATATCAAAAATACTTCTTTTAAGTCTTGTAATACTTCCAGGTTTGAATTCAAAAACAACGTACTTTATTTCAAAAGATGCATATATATTCTAGAAGGAGAAACACATTTACGTATTCTTCAAGCATGTTATGACTTTCTAGCAGCAAGGTATTTTGAATACAACAAGACTTTGGAGCTAATATCTAAATATTTTTAATGATCACAAATGTGGAAGGCTGTAAAAGACTTTGTTCAATCATATGACATTTGTTCAAGGTCAAAAACTCCTTGTCATCAACCTTATGAACTTTTTCAGCCATTACTTATTCTAAAATAACCATGGTCTTCTGTTTCTATGGATTTTATTAGGGATCTTCCAATATTAGATTTGTGTGATTCTATATTTATGATAGTAGATTATTTTATCAAAATAGCTTATTTTGTACCATGCACAAAATCTATCACAATTGAAAAAATTACCAAGCTTTTTCTTGACAATATCTATTGATATCATGGATTGTCGAAAGATATTATATTAGATAGGAAGACTCAATTTATATTAAGATTTTGAAGAATCCTTTTTAAGATTTTAAAAGTAGACATAAAGCTTTTTTAATCTTTTTTCTTTAAATTAATGAATAAATAAAGCACGTAAATCAAGTTTTTAAGGAGTGTTTAAGATGTACCATTAATTATGAATAAGTCAATTGAAGAACCCTCTTGCTATTGATAGAATTTGCTTATAATAATATGATGGATTTTTCTATATAATAAACATCTTTTTTTTATCAATTATGGTAATCATCCATGACTTAATACTTTTGACTTTTCAAAAGTTGATAATCTTGTGGCAAAAGATTTGACAAATTATTTATTAAAGCTACATGCAACAATGAAGGCACAATTAAAAGAAGCTCAAGAACAATAAAGATTACTAGTTCTTATGATAAGTTGAATTATTGTAGGCTTGGACCTTTTCTTATTTGTGGACAAATCAATCCAATTGCTTATTGATTATATCTATTAAAGTCAATAAAGATCCATCTTGTCTTCTACATGTCACTTCTTAAACCATACAAGACTGCAACATATCAAAAAGAAGACAAGTCCTACCTTCTCCTATAGAAGTCGATAATAATGAAGAATTTGAAGTAGAAGAAGTTTTAGATAATAAATTAGAATATCTTCTCTATTAGCATGGATATGATATTAATAAATGCTTATAGGAGCCAGTAAAAAATCTTACAAATGCAATAGAAAAGGTCAAAGCTTTTCATCAACAACATCCATCAAAACCAAGGATTCTCAAATGCTTTATAAATAAAATTATATCTTGTTCCAAAGGCTAGAGAAGTAATATTTGATCAACAATATATCACTCTTTTGAAGCTAGAACAATTATATCTATATGCTACTTCTATAGTTATATCTATTGATTTAAGTATTTTTGAAGAAATTTATGGAACATCAACTAACGAGTCATTAGTTTGTAATATCAAGTAGTGCCTTGACAATGACAAGTTCAAGTTCATGAAAGATTTTTTTGTATTTTTAAGATCGATTATATATTCTAGAAGAACCAATGAGATTTTGTATTCTTTAATCTAGTCATAATTTTTTAACTATAAGATATTTTGGATTTAATAAAAAAATTGAAGCTTATCTCTTAAGATTTTTAGTGGTCTCAAATATAGAAGACTGTGAAGGACTTTGTCTTTTTGTATAATATCTATTCAAGTTCCAAAAAATTTCAACATCATCCTTATAAACTTCTATAGCCACTATCAATTTCAAAGCAATCATGGTCTTGAGTATCAATAGATTTCATCATTGATTTGCTGCCATCAGCTACATTTGATGCTATCTATGTTGTTATGGATTAACTTACAAAGATGGCATATTTTGTCACATATAAAAAGATAATTTTTGGAGAAGAAATAGCAAGGTTTTTTTTTTATAATATATATCAATATCACGATCTATCTAATAATATCATTTTTTATCAAAGACCTCAATTGATATCAATATTTTGAATTTTTTTTTTTTCAAGATATTGAAGGTAGATATCAAACTTTTTTTTGCCTTCCACCCTCAAATAGATGATTAAATAAAACGAGTCAATTAAGTTTTGAAGCAATCTTTGCAATGTACCATCAATTATTAGCAAGATTATTAAATCTCATATTTATCTTTAATAAAGTTTATTTATAATAGTATTTTTCATGCTTCAACTTAGTAAATACTATTTTATTCTAATTATGATTACCATCTAAAGCTTGATTTATTATTATTGATTTTCATCTTATGAACATCCAATAAGAAGATTTTAAGGATATTCTATTAGGTTCTAAAAGGTTGTATAAGATTCTTAAAAAATTTCTAAAATTTTTTAGAAGTTTTTAGATGGTTCTTAAAATATTCTAGTAGATTCTTGAAAATTTTGAAAGAATTAAGGAAGTTGTTTAAGAAGCTTTTTAGGATTGCTTCATCTTCAAGCAATATAAAAACTTCTTAAGAAGCTTCCTAATACATAATATATATTAGAGTCGAGGTTGAAGGGATCCTCAATCTTGACAACATAACTCTTGGAGCTTTAGCTCATCTTTCTTGATATTGATCTTATACTTATGTGCTTTAATCAAATCTTATTAATTTTCTTGTTAAAACTTTTCTGTTCAACTTCTTATTTGGTCTCCTATATATTGTATTTGTGACAGTTTCTTTGTCTTATATTTAAGTTTTTTCATACAATAGATATATATACTTAAAAAAATAAGTTTATTATAGTAATTTCTAAAATAATTATTTATAAAAATAATTTAAAGAATAATATATTTAAAATTTTAATTAAATAATAATTTATTATTAAAATAAATATAATCGTAATATTATGTAAAAATTAAAATATAAGTAATTAAAAATTTTAGATGATTTAAAAAAATTACTTAATAAAATATAATTATTAAAAAATAAATAATAAAATAGAACAAAATTTATTGCATACTTTAGACATTTTTAGGTTTTAATCTCAAAACCACAATTTTAAAATGTGGTCTTATAAGAAAAAGAATTAAGACAATTAAACCATCACTATATAGTAAATAATAGCCTTTTATGCAAAATATAACTTCTCTTAAGATGTTCACTAATTGCATCCAAATTTTGAAGTTTCCAAATTCAATTTAATAGCTTTTATCATCCATCAAATTGAAAGTCAAAGCATCAAATAAAAATGTTAAATAAATATTGAATGATTATTATAAAAAATATAAAATTATATATTTATATTATTTTAAAACATTATTTAAAATATAATTAAAACCTCATATAAATAATTAAATAAAAGCTATTTACAAAATATAATTACAACCTTCCTAAATTATGAATATAATTACAACCTTCCTAAATTTTGAACCATGGATAATAGTCTTGAGACAACTTTTATTACAAGATATCATTATGATTTTTTTTAATAATTAATGTGATTTTGGTATTAAAAAAAAAAAAAAAAAAAAAATCTCTATAACCCTATCAATCAAATTCATTGACATTGTCCAAACTACAATTTTCAAAAATAAATTATCAACAAAAAATCTTCCATTAATTAAATTACCATTTTAATCACACTCACATGAATCCTTCTCAAAGAAAAGGAAATGCTAATCTAAAAAAAAAAAAAAAAAAAAAAAAGTATCATCTTTGAAAGGCATAAAATTCATGTGGGATTGATATGAGAAGTTAAAAGAGAGCCTTTCAGGTTCAGGATCATTCTAAATGTGAGGATCCCTCGGTGAAGGGGGGGTATCCACGGCTTCCTGTCTCGATGCACAGCCATAGGCCCGCATCGGAGAAGGAAAGGGGACCAAGGAACCAGTCGATGAATGAATGAGTTTATGGATGAATGAAGATAGGGATGAAGACCCGACGGGTCGCGCCATCTCACAAAACGCAGCGCGGAGTCGGAGTCGGGTTCTGGTTCGCTTCCCTCCTTCCTCCACTCCCGACTCGCCCTCCTTCTCTCGTACCTGCAGCCCCGCTTCGTCCCGCGCTGTAGCATTAGTGTTGTCGATACGTCCCGTAATTCTCCAGCCATAGCGTAGCACTGCCGCTTTGATCTCTCTCCCTTCCCCCCTTCCACTTGCGCACCTAATTTTCTGGCCATTACCGTGCTGCTCCGCTGAATTTTCCGATATTAGATATTGTGATATTTTTTGGTTGTTGTTGCTATGAGAATTCGTAAAGGCCACAGGTGCTTGCCGCTGGCGCCCGCCGATCGTTCCTTTTTGCAGGAGAGTTCTGTGCAGCGGGGGAACGACGGTGGTAGTATTGGTGATGGAAAGGACGATGGTGTTCAGGCGAAGTTGCTGCGTCTCGTCGAGGTTGCTGCTGCGCCGGTTGCGAACGTCAGCAGTGGTCGCCATGTGTACCTGGTATCGTCAAGCGTGATTGTTACAAGAATGTTGTGAACGCTGGTCGTGTGGCGTGCATGCTGGTGTCATGTTTATGAGTTATTTGCGGGAGCTAGAAGCGGTGAAGTACAGTCCGCGGTTGGTTTTGGTCTCTAGACATGTCGGCAGAAAAAATATAGCAATCTGCAGACGTCGTTGATCTGGAGCTTCTGCAATTCTCGGACATCTCATGTTCTGGTGACAAAATAAGTTCGACGATATTGGTTCCTATGCATGATTTTTCTTAGATTGTGTAATTGCCGGCCCGGCTACTGGGCCTTAGATGGCTCATATTCAACATTGACAGCCTTGACCTCCATATTGCAGCAGGAAAATATGAACGAAAAATCTTTGACAGGAGAGGAGTGCCAAGAACCTGAATTAGAGAACAGGTACATCCCTATGTGCGTTTTATTTTTATTTTTGTGTAATTAAGGTATTGTTAGCTCTCTTCACTGCTCGGCAGTTCCCTAGATATCACTCATCTTGTAATCACCTATTCACGATAGTTGCAACTTCAGGTCTTGTTCTTTAACTCGGTTCAATTAGGAAGGTCCTGCTGCAAGATATTGAACTGTAAGGAGCATGCATTATTTGAAAGAACAAACGAAAGGGACGTTTAATCTGGATCATCCCATGAAGCGGTGGTTCTAATCAATGGAAATGCTGGATGGCAGGGTTTCTGCTGATGATAATTTTATCGAGCGGTCCATAATTCACGACACAAGTAACTATCAGTTTCACATCTTTGTTTTATGATTTGAGAGTTTTGAGGTTTCCAATCGATCAGATTGAATGCAGGTGTAATCTCTGAACTGTAAGTTAGGGAGAGCCGATCGGGTACATCAGTATGATCTTTGATTGATCGGCTCTTACTGACGATAATGCCCTTCGTGGCTGATGTGTTCACCTTCATGTGCAAGTTTACCCTAGGGTTTTTCGTAGGAACAGTGACGTAGAACTTGTCACCACGTATTATTACAAATTTAGTGTTTTCAATACTGATCCTGAAGCATCTCAAATGGTGCTGTTATTTGTTTAAATTTAAAATCTTCTACAGAAAGGTTGGTAGGCATGCTTTGAGGTGATTGTTATTCCTGAGGTGCTCAATTTATTGGAGTATCTGTTTTAATGCAGGTGTTGATACTACCTTGAGGAACCCGACAGAATTGTCGCCGAGGGCGAAATCGATCTTCACCAGGCACAAGCCTTTCGACACATCTGGCACAACCTGTAGCAGCGTGCTCGGCATAGGGATTGAGAACCAACAGGATTTATTAGAGAGGTCGTTACGACAGATCTGCTCAACGGCAGGTACAATCGGTGTAAGTGCTCGTGATGCAGTTGCCCAGATAATTGAACAAAGATTGCCGGGATTGAACGAGGGAGGTGAGAGATTAATTGTGCAAGTGACTAAAGTATTTCGTAAGGGTTCTGAATTTGTGGAACGCGAAGGGCGTGGAAGATACTGCTTGGCGGAGTACACTTCTCTGGTGAGCGGAGAAAGTATGACATTATTTACAGGAGACTCGGAAATCAGTCGGGAAAATACAGTTTCAAGCAGTGATGTGGTAGACGCCGCGAGGCAGTTACAAAATCTGCAGAAGATCCATTCGACATTGCTTGGTTCTGGTGTTGATGTGCTGAATGAAAGCCCATGCTCCCATGGCAGCAATCGGCAGGCGAACCTGAGTATAGTTGACGGGTTCGTTCGGCATCCAAAAGCTGGAACAGTTCGCAAAGATGTCACGGCGACGAACCATAAAGCCAGCTCAACCCACTCTAGGTCACAGACTCTCGCCAAATTAGACCCAAACGAACCCCAGTGCAGACGAGATGATGGGAAAGGATGGAGGTGCTCCCGATCAGCAGACGCTGGATTCGCAATGTGCAAGTATCACCGAGAGCAGATTTATAGGGCTCAGAATCGACGTAAGAAATCGAAACGTGATGTGGAACCAACGGCATTGGCTGGATGTTCTCCTCCCAGATACGTAGCGAATGCTCGTGCCGTCCCGGACGACATAACAGCAGGAAGCACGAACGATCCATTTTTGGACGACGAATTGCCATTCGATGAACGTCGTCAGTTTGTGAAGGCGAAGTCTTTGAAGTCTTTACTCTTGAACAGTGATGTTCGATCGATAGGTCGTCGACAGATCTGAGGTTCAATGTAAATTTATTTCAGGAGAATGCTAATTTTTTGTTCAATTCCAAATTGTACATCTGTAATTGATATTAATATTGATAACGTACATTTTTCCTGTTACACATCTAATTCCATATTAGCACAATATTTAACATTTAACCCATCAATTAAATATTCTACCGAACCTAAATACTTGGTCATCTAGTATTGAAGCTTAATTTAAGAATTTGATTCTAGCCCTGGGGACACAACCCATCCAAGATTCAGTGGTGGAATGCAACGGTTACTCTCATTTCAACTCTTTCAAAATCGGTGACCATAAGTAGGAGATTGTAACACACGGAGATGCAATGCAAGTATTGCGAGGAATCGACCAGTGGTCCAATGTCTACCTCCGTGTATGGAAGCTTATGACTTGTATGAATAGATAGAAATCGTAACATCAACAAAGTTGCGTGGAGTGACACATGATTCACTCCCTAGTAAGCAATCATCAACACATGCACAGTACACAAAATAACTGACAATACTCCCTTGTACTCGCTGGAGAATACGTGGGCTTAGGATACGTCAGACTTTACGTAATATCTCCACTTCACCGACATCAGTCTCATGAGATTTGGTAGCGTTACGGAAGAAAGGGTAGTCTGACCTTCATCATCCATGCAGCACAGAACCAGGACATGGAAAAGTTCTCACCTAAACCCCCCGTCCCCCCCTCTTTTTTTTGTTTGACGAGCATGCTTAACAACCAAGGAATTACTTTAGAAGCATGCAAAAGACGATGGGCGGGATGCTGCAGTACCAATAGCTATTGACACAGCGAATCGGACACCTGAAAATAATGTGAAGTGACAGTGCCAAAATGGGTAGGTCTCAAACGAAGTGACCCTGTATATACATGGGCATTCGTATGCAGCAAGTCATACCCAATTCCACTTGCAGCGCTTCCGAGTTATCTGTAGCCTTGCTGACGATCTGTACGAAGGCGAATATAGTTGCAACAATAATAGAACAAATGTGACAAAACCATGATACAAAAAATAATTATCGTCTCCTCTTTCCATTATCGTTCTGAATGCTGCCAAGTGCTCGCTTCACGCCAGAAACTAAATCGTCAAGAAGAGCTCCGATCATAGCACTACAATACGGAGTGCAACACCCGAGTCAAACAAGTATCTGAATGTACAGAAGAGTGGCAATGGTTCACCCTGATTTTGAGAAAACGTGACTTCTGAAGACCAGCAAGAGACATGACTAGTAAATTCTCTATTTGCTACGCAGGGTTAAGCAGATATTGTGCCTACCATTTTGGGCGTGAATGAAAGAGCCTCATAACGAAGGCAAATAAAAGAGGAAAAAACTCACCCGCGAGAATCAGCAATGCTGCGCTTGGGGAGCATTCCCACGTTACTGTATGAGCCGCTATCGTCGTAAGCTCTACCTATGCCCAAACCGTAATCAAATCCAACTCCCACACCACACCCTGCTCCTACTCCAAATCCGACTTGCAAACCAGGGAAACCTAACCCAATTCCAGCCCCTGCAGACGAAAAGTTGTAACACAGTGTGAGAATTGTGCAGGCTTGGCAATAAGAGTACTGCTGGATAAGGAGAGCGAAATAATAGAAGCACCATGAGATCAAGCTATGACACGAATGACATGCTGAATCATTTTGTAACATGTGATACCTAAATAATATGAGCATCAAGACATGCAGAATCCATAAACACGGGAACAACTAAAGCTGGCACCAATATGGATTGGCCAAGTTTACAGGCGAAAGAAGATGACAGTATAGTCTTTACAACCATAAAACAATAGAAGGTGTGGCGAATCACAGCACAATTGCAGCAATCCTTCGATTTGCGTTCCAAGACTCCGCGTCGAAACTCATGCACTGACCAATTGTTTCAAACTAGCTGGAAAACCGAAAAGGATTTGATAGCCGTTACCAAATACCGAGGATAAGATTTCAGAACCTACTGCGGTTCGCCTAAACACAATTTTCGAGCCCGGCATGAGCTTGACCAGCTACTCTCTCCCACAGGCCGCCTCGTCAACAATTCAATCAATCTACAAATTCACAATCATGATCAGATACTCTTCAAAGAGAGACATTCTTCCCGGATCACTACCTAATCACCCCTGTTTACGAAAAAGATAAAATGGAAAATTGATTGCGATCGTCCTTACTTAGATAGACGCGAAACGAATCGTGTATACAATCTCAACTCACAGATGAAGCGATGCACCTAACAGTTGATTCTAATCAAGACTCTATCAATAAATTCCACAATGGCAGTAGAACAAACCCTCTCTTTCGGCGCTACATAATGATCGTAGGAAACCTTCATGGAACGGATTGTAAAAACAACTGGTCTCTTCACAGAAACAGCACCCGCAAAAACTACACAAGCGATATGAACGCGCATTAAAGGGACTCCAAGAGTAAAAATCAGCGAATCTCCAACGATGCCCGCACCGAGGCCGATCCCGCAACCGATACCATAGCCGAAGGCCGGGCCAAGCTTGCCCCCGCCCTTGCTGTGCACCTTGGGCAGCCTCCACAGAATGCCCTGCTCATCGTCCTTCGCCATAACTGCAAATTTCACACAAATCTCGCGTCCATAGTCAGCGCAACTGAGCAAGCGAGCGAGACTGCGAGCATTCGCGAATTGCATGTGGCGTATTCCATTGCATGTGAGTACCTGAAGAGGTCGCCTCTTTAACATTTCCTTGATATGATGATGCATTCGACACTTGATACGTGAGTCGTTTTGCAAAGACTTTTGAAAGGACTATGGACGCGTGATCAAGAACTCTTGAATTCAAAATCCTAAACCTGCTTTCATCACAAATTGTGTAGCAATGTTTTAGTTATGACTTATGCATTCTTAGACCTTCAAAAAACTATGTCACTTTTTATTGATGATCTTAGTTGTCAATCATCAAACATTGAAAGCCTTTAATTGTACTTTTAACATTAATAAAAAGTAGGAATTTCTCTCATGTTATTTTTAAGAAGAGAAAAGAAGCTGATCTTGAAAAGGTAGAAGTTATTACAAACCTACTACCTCCAAATGTAGCTATAGAAATTCAAAAGATTTTGAAACATATGGATTGGTACGGCAACTTAATTAAGTCATATTCAATTCATGCCTTTACCATTAACTAATTTATTGAAGAAGACCACCAAACTTGAAGTAACCTTTGAATGTCAAGTTCAATTTAATGCAATTAAAAAAAAAATCCTATTCTATCTTTATCTACTACCATCTAATTGAGATCAATTTTTTTTTATATATATTAAGATGCCTATGAATTGATAAAAGATAGTGCCTATTATCAAGCAAATAATAAGAATGTAATCCATCTTATAGAGTTTGCTAATAAACAATCAACAAATATTGAATGCATTTATACAACCATAGAATGGAAATACTTAGCTATGGTCTTTAGTATCAGAAAAATTTGCCATTATTTTTTAATGAATAAAGCAATCTTCTATATTAATCACATGGCCCTTAGATATATTATAGACAAATTAGATTTAAGTTGTAGATTATGAAGATGGATATTATTTCTAATTTTTTTTGATTATAAAGTGTAATGTAAATAAAAAAAATAATACCAACAAGGTGATCATCTCTCACAATTATCTATAGCCAAAGATATACAAGATATAGATAATAAACTTCTTCATGCCAATTTGTTTGTTATTATGGTAGCACTTATATTGTATGAATATATTGCTAAATTTTTTAATACTCAACAACTATCTAATGCTTTATTAAAAAATAAATGATAAAAGATTATAGTAAATAGTCTCTAGTTTTCTCTTATAGCCAAAAAACTATATTGTCAAAGAATTCATGGTATATTAAGATATTATCTTACATATGATGAAGTATCCTTCATTTTAAAAGCTTATTACTCAAATACTTGTAATGGTCATTTTTTGGGTCAATTAATAGTTCAAAAAAATCCTTAGAAAAAATTATTTTGGCCTATGATATTTGCTAATTTAAAGTCTTTTGTAAGATCTTGTAATGCTTGCTAACAATATACATGCAATGATTTAAAACTTGCAATACCTTTAAATTCCTTACTTCTACTTATTCCATTTGAAAAATAGGGCGTAGACTATGTTGGACATATTTATCTTATATCTTTGTGAAAATGCAAAGATTATATTATATTATATTTTCTTCTCTGTTACATAATATTTAATCAAGAAAATAGAAGCAAAAGCTATTAAGATAAAAAAATGCTAAATAAATTGCCATATTTTTGTATGAAAACATCATAGCTTGTTTTGATTGTCTAAAAATCCTTATAAGTGAAAATGATACTTATATTTTAAAAGGACTATTAAAAAATGACCACATTATTTATCATAAATTATAGAATAACTACTAATTATCATCTTCAAACAAATATTCTTATAAAAATATTCAATCAAACTTTAATTTGGATATTAAAAAAACTATGATGGATTCTAAGCGTAATTGAGAACTTAAGCATATTTTTGCTCTTTGGACTTATTAAACTACTTACAAAGTTTCTAAAATGGCTATAATTTTTCTTTGGTATATAGAATAGAAGCCATTCTACTTATAGAATTTGAAGTTCTATGTTTATATATTGTCATTGATCAAAGATTGGATACTTTTTAATCTTTGAAAGAACAATTAGAGCATTTAAAAAGACTAAGTGAAAGTCAAGATTTGCGGCCTAGTATACAAAAGTAACTGGTAGAGAAGAAAAGAGTTCTTAGATAATTAAAATAAAAATAAAGTTAAGTCTTTTTATTCTAAGAATGTAGATGATGGTCAAAGGTGATAGAAAATTAGAATTTTTAACTAAGTACAATGCACTTTCAACAAGACTCTACATTATCATAGAAGTTTTTGATAATAATTTAGTTCAATTCAAAACATTAGATAGAAAAGACTTTCCTAAACAAATTAATGGAAGTCGTTGTGAAGAATATAGGTTGTAAACATTGGTTATAATATCAATGTATTCAGTTGTTTTTATAATGGTTTCAAGTAAAATACATAAATTATTTTTATTTTTAATATATTATGAGATTAGGCTCAAAAAAAAAGTAGCAAGCATTATTAAATATTATGTCATTTAAATCATGGTTTTTTTAAAAAATAGATAATAAAATTAGATGAAATTATAAGAGATTTACTATCATATATTTTTTACTTTGAATTTTGAATAGAAGTATAGATGTTATTTAATATTGAATTATTAACTAAGCAAGAAATTATTATATATTAAGCATGTTAAGTTAAATATAAATAATAATTTTTTATTTTATTTTAATTCAAAGTCTTATTAATTTTTTTTATATTCTACTTCTTTTAATATATTATAGTATGAACTTGTCAAAGATACACTATATAGGAAAAAAAAAAATTGAATAGAAGAATTTCAACAAGAAAGCTAACAAGAACTTAATTAAATCAAATGAATATAAAATCAATACTAAGAGAAATGAGCTAAAACTCTAAGAGATGTATTGTCTAGATTGAGGATCTCTTCAACCTCGACTCTAATATATACTAGGTATTAGGAATGTTTTCAAAAAGTCTCTATGTTGCTTGAAGATGAAGCAACTTCAGGAAGCTTCTCAAGAAATTTCTATATTACTTGAAGATGAAGCAATTCTAGGAAGCTTCTTAAGAAATTTCCATATTGCTTGAAAGTGAAGCAACTCTAAGAATCTTCTGAAGAAATTTCTATATTGCTTGAAGATGAAGCAATTCTAGGAAGCTTCTCAAACAACTTTCTTAATTCTTTTAGAACTTTCTAGAACTTGCTAGAATATTCTAAAAATCTTTTAAAAATATTATAGAAATCTTTTTAGAATCTTTAAAACTTTCTAGAACCTAAAAGAATATTCTAAGAATATTTAAAAATCTTCTTATTGAATATCCATAATAAATTTTTTTTAAATTTTTAAATTTTTTATAATTATATCAAAGGTAAAAATAGAATTTTCTCTATTCTTACAAATAACTCTAAATAGTTGATATATGTAAGTTCCACCAATAGATTGTAATTGGTAGAGTACTTAAAAATATAGTTTTAAATTAATTAATTATAAAATATTAGAAATAGAATTTTTTTTATTATTTAATTATTCATTAGAATTTAGAAGTGTTTACAAAATACAAGAGTCTTATTAGAAAAAAATCATTAAAATAAAGTCTTAATAACTCTTAGTTGATTTAGTAATTTTACTAATTACTAAGTATTAATTATTAATTATTGAAATTAATGTCTGAATTGGTCTTTTATCTAAATTAATTACTTATAATATATATATATATATATATATATATATATATATGTATCAATAAATAATTAAAAAAAAGCATGAAAAAAAATCATATTCTTATAATTATTTATATAGAAAATAAAAAATTAATTGAATTAAATTGATTTTATTAATGTTTTTTTATTATAATAAAAAATATAGCCTGAAATTGACATTAGTATTATAAGAATATTATAAGATTTTTTAAAATTTATTTGAAGTTTTTTTGGAATTTTTAGGAAATTTTTTAGATTTTGGTAAAAAATAGTTTTATCATCTTAGGAGCCATTATGAAGAAATGGGGCAAGATTTGAAGGCCAAACAAGGTTCTTAAGCTAATTAGATATTCTTGAAGACTGTAGTGAAGTAAAAAATATAAAACTATTAATTTTATTAATATAAAATAAAAAGACTAACAATTAGTATAATCCTTGTGTCTTAAACATATATATTTACTCCAATTATTACTTATATGATTAAATAGAAGTATACAAAAGTAAATTAATTTTATAATATCTTCTAAAAAAACTTCTTAGAAGCTATATAGACACAATTTTGACTTTATATATGTTTATAGTTGATTTTAGAATAGAAACTTTGTCAACAAGTTAGTCACGTAATACACATGTGAATAGCTCACGGAATAAGCTAATTATGAGGCACATATATAGAAAACTTGCCTTAAAATTTAAAAGATGTCATTTGCAAAGTCAATACATATTAGAGGTCTTATAGAATGTTGCTATGTAGCTCTCAGGTGGATAGTATATATAAATACAAGAATAAAGCCTTCTTCATTCATGTCAATTCTTTCCTTACTCTTGTCTAGATTCAAGAGACTTTAATTTTCTTATCTTTTAGCAATAGAAATTCTAATTTTTTATTATTATATATATATATATATATATATTGCTTTTATTTTATCATAATTTTTTAAAAAAGTCTTATTTAATTATTTGTTTTTATTGGATTCTTATCCTTGACATATTAATAAGAATATACTTATAATATTAGAGCTTTGTCTTTTCTTAATTAAGAATAGATTACTTTTTTTTTTGATAAGACATAAGCATATTAGAATTTGGAGATTATTTTCTTATAAATTGATATTGTCTTTAGTATTTTATTTATTCTCAACTCCTCTCTTCTATTTTTCTTGAGCAATATTAGATATCTTTTCTTTTTTAAGTGTTATTATGGCAAAGCTTATTGAAATAAAGAGTACAATAGCACAAATGTAAAAACAATTGAGAAAATTAATGCTTGCGATGCATCAAGTCAATTTATCACCACAAACAATAATAAGAATGGTAAGAAGTAAAGATATAGATATGATTGAAGTTGCTTCAACATCTATACAAAAGCATATTCTTTTTCTAATAGCAGAAC